GTTGATTTCGACGAAAAGCTGATCAAGGAGCTGAGTTATCAAGCGCTCGGCGATCTCAATCCCATGGCAGCTCTGTTCGGTGGAATTACTGCGCAGGAGATTCTCAAGGCCGTTTCCGGCAAGTTCCAGCCCATCAAGCAGTGGATGTACTTCGACTCGCTCGAGTCTCTCCCGACTAGTACTGCACGTACTGCGGAGCTCTGCAAGCCGTTGGGCACTCGATACGACGGACAGATTGTGGTTTTCGGTCGCGAGTACCAAGAGAAGATCGCCAACTTACGCCAGTTCCTTGTTGGTGCGGGTGCCATCGGATGCGAGATGCTCAAGAACTGGGCCATGATTGGCCTGGGTACCGGCCCCAAGGGCAAGATCACGGTTACCGACATGGATTCCATCGAGAAAAGCAACCTCAACCGTCAGTTCCTATTCCGTGCCAAGGATGTCGGAAATATGAAGAGCGATTGTGCAGCAGCAGCCGTTCAGGCCATGAACCCTGACCTTAACGGCCACATCGTCTGCCTGAAGGATCGCGTAAGTCCTGAGACTGAGGAGACCTTCAACGAACAGTTCTGGAACGACCTCGATGGTGTCACAAATGCTCTTGACAACGTAGAGGCGAGAACATACGTTGACAGACGTTGCGTGTTCTTCCGCAAGCCTCTCCTTGAAAGCGGCACCCTCGGAACCAAGGGTAATACTCAGGTTGTGCTCCCACATCTCACTGAGTCCTACTCCTCCTCTCAAGACCCTCCCGAGAAGGAATTCCCCATGTGCACCGTGAAAAGCTTCCCCAACAAGATCGAACACACCATTGCCTGGGCCAAGGACCATATGTTTGAGAATCTCTTCATCACGTCTCCTTCGACCGTCAATCTCTATCTGACGCAGCCCAATTACATCGAGGCCACATTGAAACAAGGCGGCAGCGCTAAGTTGACTCTGGAGACGCTCCGCGACTACCTGACTACCGACCGCCCGCGTACATTTGAAGACTGTATCGCATGGGCACGGATTTTGTTCGAGAAGGAGTTCAACAACAAGATCCAACAACTTCTGCACAACTTTCCCAAGGACTCGACAACCTCCAGTGGCACTCCCTTCTGGTCTGGTCCCAAGCGGGCCCCTGATCCGCTCAAGTTCGATGCCAAGAACCCTACTCACTTTGCGTTTGTTGTTGCTGCTGCCAATCTGCATGCATTCAACTACAACATCAAATCCCCTGGCACTGACAAGGACATCTATCTGCGTGAGCTTGAAAATGTGATTGTGCCTGACTTCTCGCCTGCGGAAGGCGTCAAGATCCAGGCCAATGATAGCGACCCTGTGAGTACCTCAAACGAAAGACTCGTCTGTTAGTCATTTCTAATACTTGATAGGACCCGAACGCCGAGGGCGGAGAGGGCAGCTCTTTCGACGACAACAATGAGTTACAGAAGATCATTGCCAGCCTGCCATCTCCTAATGATCTGGCCGGCTTCCAACTCCAACCTGTAGACTTTGAGAAGGACGACGATTCCAACCATCACATCGACTTCATCACGGCTTGCAGCAACCTGCGCGCTGCCAACTACAAGATTGAGCAGGCTGACCGTCACAGGACGAAGTTCATTGCTGGAAAGATCATTCCTGCTATTGCGACAACCACGGCTCTCGTCACAGGTCTGGTCATCTTGGAGCTGTACAAAGTCATCGATGGCAAGCAAGATCTAGAGCAGTACAAGAACGGCTTCATCAACTTGGCATTGCCATTCTTCGGGTTCAGCGAGCCGATTGCAAGCCCGAAGGTGGAGTTCAAGGGCCCGAGCGGTATCGTCAAGCTAGACAAGATCTGGGATCGCTTCGAAGTGGCAGATATCACGCTGAAAGAGCTTCTCGAGCACTTCGAGAAGCAAGGTCTCAGCATTTCTATGCTCAGTTCAGGCGTCAGCTTGCTGTATGCCAGCTTCTTCCCCCCTGCCAAGTTGAAGGACCGCCAGAACCTGAAACTGAGCCAGCTGGTGGAAACTGTCTCTAAGAAGCCTATTCCCTCTCACCAGAAGGAGGTCATCTTTGAGATGGTGGCAGAAGATGTTGACGGCGAGGATGTTGAGGTTCCGTACATCAAGATGAAGATGGCCTAAGGGTCTACATTGGAGGGCTCGATACGTCGACTGAGGTATGTCGTCAGGGAGGAGGCCTAGACGAACAGACAGATCAGGATGTCGAGCATTCAAGACAGGATTCAGAAGAAGAAAAGGCTGTATCACAGAGTCAAGTAGGCAACTAGGAACAACAACTTATGTCGCATCTTGACATTCATGGAATGGTATCATGGCGAGAAAACTGGTGCCAGGATAACCGATCCGCATCAAAGGACGACACGCCCAAGTACGTACCCGAATGAATAAGCCCAAGCGTGTACGAGTAAGGTGCAGTGGCCATTTGTAAGCGCTCTGCTTAAGTAGCGTAGAGGGTGGGACAGTATCTGTTGGGCCCTGATTACGTCACCATTAGCAATGCTTAGAGCTGTTGCGCAACTGTTACCTATCTCACAGAAGCCATTTCGCGGATGGCGACTCTAGGCATGAAAGGGGAGGAGACCGTAGATGACATGGGTCATGCACGCCTTTGTAATAATCACCAAAGATACCTTGCGCCCAAGTTGAGTGGCTCGCATGGGCTAGTCGTCCTCGCTTCGTCAATGCGAACAAAAGTACGACGACGCAACTACATCGTCCCTTTCTAGACCATACCGTATAAAATCATCTTTCCGCCCCCGCACCGTCGAGGCGGGTCCTCGCTGCTGGCTAATATCATCATCATCGCCCATGAACGTGAGGATTCTGAATCGTCTCTCCTACTTCGGCAAACAAAGCCTATGCCACCGTCAACAGTTTCGGTCTTTGACGTCAGCCGTGCCATCGCCTCGACACCTCTCGCCTTCAGATTCGTCAACTTTTGTCCAGCATAAAGACGCTTTTCGCAGCCAACAGCTCAGAATGGTATGTAAGGCCGCGACTGGAACAAGATGACCAGAGCCCAGCGGGGACTGACACGGGAACGCTGCAGGCCAGCAAGATCACCGAGTGGGTTAAGTCCGGCGACAAGTCCGGCGAGTTCAAGCGTCAGCAAAGCTCGTTCCGTGACTCGATCTCCCGGGAGCAAGGCGTCAAGTTTCCAGCTGAGAAGGGCCGCTATCATCTCTATGTCAGCTATGCTTGTCCTTGGGTGAGTTTTACCAACACTCCAGGGCCCTGTCTTCTGGTGGCTGTGCAACAAGTAGCTCACATCCCGCAGGCCTGCCGTACCTTGATCACCCGCCAGCTCAAGGGTCTAGAGGACATCATCAGCTACTCCGTTGTTCACTGGCACCTAGGAGAGAAAGGTAGGTTTGGTGATACGCACACAATTTCAGTGTGGTAGCTGGGCTGATTGCGCAACAGGATGGCGCTTCGTCACCGAGGGCGAGCAAGAGAGCGTCCCCGGTGACAATGTCGTCCCAGACCCCATCCAGGGCCACGAGAATTTCACACACCTCCGCGACGTTTACTTCGAGTCAGAGCCCAATTATGAGGGTCGCTTCACTGTCCCGGTGCTGTATGACAAGAAGCTCAAGACCATCGTTAGCAACGAAAGCAGCGAGATCATCCGCATGCTCTACACCGAGGTGACTTAATTTTGGAAGCTAGGAAAGATTTGACTTAGCTGACCTTGGCCATAGTTTGACGACCTTGTGGACGAAAAGTACCGTCGAGTCGACCTCTACCCTGAGACTCTCCGAACCCAGATTGACGAGACAAACGAGTGGACGTACGACAAGATCAACAACGGCGTCTACAAGTCTGGTTTCGCCACGACGCAGGAGGCATATGAACGCAACGTCGTCGCTCTTTTCGAGGCTCTCGACAAAGCCGAGGCGCACCTCAAGTCGACATATAGCGAGGGCCCATTTTACTTTGGAAAGGTTATCACTGAAGCGGATATCAGACTGTGAGTCTCAGGCGATCCCCTCCTTCTTTTCTTATTGTTACTACTGTTTTTCCTTCTTCAGTTGGGCATCAAGGCCAAGCTAACTCTGTCTTTCCCCGCGCAGCTTTGTCACCATAATTCGATTCGATGTGAGTTCAGCTGCATCTTCTTGACCACAAAGTTACTAACAGCTGCACAGCCCGTCTACGTGCAACATTTCAAGACGAACATACGCGATATCCGTTCTGGATACCCTTTCCTCCACAAGTGGATGCGTAATCTCTACTGGAATGTCCAAGCCTTCCGCGACACGACCCAGTTCGAGCATATCAAGTGGCACTACACCAAGAGCCACACTCAAATCAACCCTTTCTCCATCACTCCAGTCGGTCCATTGCCCGATGTTCTCCCCCTCGACGAGGAGGTTCCGGCAGTCAGCACAAAACTGTAAGGACCCATCGCGAAAGCATGCACGGCCAGAAATAAAGGCAACATCTATCTCCTGCTCGATGTTCAATGCTGTTGGATACTTTCTGGGTGGAGTATTTTCTGTATGCTACATTCGTCGTCAGGTTAATTATGGGGTCATCCTGAATCTGCATGTATCGCACGCACAGTCTACTTGATGACGACGTCAAGTAATCACGTAGCGTTGCTTATCCGGTGTGCTAGAAGACCACCATTACATGTACCACCGACAATATCCACAAGCAGCCGAATGATTATTGGCATTTTGATGGCTGCACGTGGATGCTTTTTGTGCAAGAACAAGTATTGCCCAAATTATGAGACTAAAAACCATTCGCTCCTAACCACCTTTATTCGAGGTCCTGAATCGGCAACTCATCTGATAACTTCATCCAGTATTATGCTAGAATCCTGTGTATATAACAATGTGCAATATAATAAACACTTTCCCGATGCATGCAATTCCTCCCAGCTGATAACAAAAAGCAAATGTCCGTAAGCGTGAGAGGTGTTCTCTTTTTTGGTGTCCCCGTAGCCAAATGTGATGCATTAAATTAGTTATAAATCACCAACGACGCTACGTTTTACAACTGGCCTGATAGGAGCGCCTCCGTAGCTGCAGATGACGTCAGTAAGAGAAAGATGTGAACAGTGGCCAGAGGAGGACTAACCGCTATTGATGTACTGTCGTTTGGCATCCAGAGGAACGCCAAAGCGACGCTCCAGCTCCTGTTTGATACCCTTCTTCGTCACCGTCATCAGATCGGCCGTCCTTAGAATCTCGCGGATCTCGGCCAACAACGCGTCATCGCTGGGCAGGCCGACCATATCTTCCGGGGAGAAGAATTGCGAACCGCCGAATTGGCTGTTGCGGTTACCGCCCATCTCGGACGCTGCAAGGGACATGCGCGACATGTTACGCTGATCGTAACCCATAGGGGCCCTTGGAGGCGCATAGCCGGCAGCAATGGAGCCAGGGCGGCTGTGGTAACCGTACTCAGAAACAGGAACCTGTCCCTTAGTGGCGTAGCTATAGCCAGAGGCCTCGGAGCGAGCATCCTCGCGGACAGTCTGCGCATCCCAGAGCTCGGCCTGATATTCTTCCCACTTCTTCTTGGGAATGACAGAGGGGTCGAATTTGCCCTCGTCGGAAATAACAATGTTCTTTCCCTTTTCACCAGCGATGACACGAGTGTTACCCCAGTTGAAGTCGTCCATATGCCAGAAGGAGTATAGAGGCAGGGCAAAACTGAAGACGGGAATGGCAAGGATATACAGAATCATCCAACCGATCATCTCCCACTTGCGGCGGACAATAAAGATGATAGCTTGCAAACCGTAGATTGCTCCAAGCATGATGAAGGCCGTGACTGGCACCACGGTAGGGTTTTGGACAACCATCACGATAAGATAAATGATGTACGCGACGACCACAGGCTGGACAACGGTACTCAGCAAGTCGACGAACACAATGAAACGCATGGAGAAACAGCAGAATCCACACAGCTGAGCCATGGGAATGAGTTCCATCAGGTTGTGCACCGTCGAGTTAATCCACCGACGTCTCTGGGAGAGAAACACAGCCCAAGAGTCAGGGGCGATAGTCCAAGCATGGGCCCGGTTGGTGTACTTGGTCTTGTACTTGTTGTGGTACTTGAGCAGCAACGTTGTGAGGTAACGGTCCTCACCAAGATGAAGCAGGTTCTTCATGTGCAACGTATCGACGCGAATGGTAGAGTAATCTTGGACGATTTCGCGACTGACGAACAGAGGCTTGCCGGTCTCGGCAGCGCGGATGCGGTACATCGAGAAACAACCAGGCAAGCAAGTGACGCTGCCGAACAGACTCTCGAAAGCCTTGGTGAGGTTGTGAGAGATCCAGTATTCGTAAACTTGAATCATGGTGATAAAGGATGCCTTGGCGTTGGTTAGTGCTGTCTCACCACAGACGGCAATAAGACGGGTGTCGTTAAGGAAGGCAGAAACCATGCGTGTGGCCGAGTCGGGAGCGACGACTGTGTCCGCATCGATTTGGAACATGAATTCGTAGAAGGTTGGGTTGACGCCAATAATGTTGCGAATCTGGTGATACATCTCGAGTTCCAAGGGGCTCATCTCCAAGTTGTAGTGAACGCGATTTAGGAATCGCATGAGAATCATTTGAGAATCTCGCTTGCCACGGTTTCCTGGACGGGAAACCTCTGACGGCTTGCCAACCTTGACGATGACCAAGAAAGGAACAATGTGGCCTTGGACCTCGTACAGACCGGAGAAGACCTTGCCCATGTTGTGCTGCTTCTGACCTTCGCCGAGAGATTCGAAACTGAGTGGCTCGGGGTCGACCGTCTCAGAGACGCCGAGAATGTCAAGTACGATACGAGGCGTCGGCTTGTCATTACCCTGTCCGATAATCATACCGTCACACACAACAATGAGAAGCTTGCGCTTATCATCGTAATGCATCCTGGCACAAGAGTCAATGGCACGGCGAAGAGACTCCTCGTCTTCCGTGTAAGCTGGAATCTGGCACATGACGAACTTGTCGAGATTCTCAGGCATATTCTTGCCGCCGAACTGGAGCGCCGCCAAGAACTTGAAGCCGAGAATAGCGCACAAAATGATGGAGATCGCGAGAACAAGATACTCGGCGAATTTGCAACGGGCCGAGTTACGGGTGTCAACGTCGCCGATATAGAAGAGGTTGTTGAGGCAGGTCTTCATGCGCTTCTTCATGGCGGCATCGATGTTGAGGTTGTCCCATAGCTTTGTAATATCCGAGCCGGCCTTTTGCTGGAAGAGCGTGGCAACAGTGTTGTCCATGAACTTGGTCTGGCCCGTGTCCTCGGGAACGGACTCGCCCGCCGCGGCTTGCATCCTCAAACCGCCGCTAATATATTGCGTCAAATCGTATACACGGCTGTCCAGGATAGCAACAATTTGCTGCTTGTTGGCCAGAGTCTTGACGTATTCAGGAGAGTAGCCCACATTGCCCTTCTTGTAGTTGGCCTTGAGGAAGGTCATCTGTTCGTAGTACCAATCCGGGCGGCTGTCGTTGGTCCAAGAACGGAAATCATGGAACTTGAAGTTCTGGTCAACGGTGGCGAGCGTGGGGGAGCCGGTGGTGTTGGTGTTCTTGTAATCAAGTGACACGTGTTCGTCGACGGAACCATCCTTGCCTTGGCACAAGGCGCTGACTTGAATAGGGAAGAGGGAGCTGATGTCCTGGCCGGCATAGTTCTTCAACTGTTTGACAGTAACATACGGCGGGTAGTGACGAGGGGCAAAAGAACCGAGATCAAAGACGACGCCGCGAATCGAAACGTAGGCAGAATTGTCGTCCTGTCCGTCGTTGGAAGACAGTTCTTCAGCGCTGTACACGTGTTGCGTGGGACAGATGAGCTTGGGAAAGACCACGATGAAAAAAGCAGCAAACAGGCAGAAGAGCCAGATCAACATGTTGATGGCCAGCTTCTCTCTCCAAGCAACACGGATATCCTTGCGGGGCATTTTGCCCATCTTGCGGATGAGAATGTCGGGAACAAACCAGGTCATGAGATAGACGGTGAAGACCCAGCGCTTGCGACTGGCACTGTCCTTGAACTCCTCGACTTCTTCGAGGCTCTTCTCATTTCCACGTTCGGCCATCTGCTCACGGGTGTCTAGGTTCTTGAACATGTCACCGCCTCCGAAGGCAGAAACGCCAGCTTCGGAGCGAGCGTCGGAGCCGTCCTGACCCCCAAAGTATCCGCTCTTGCCCTTCTCGCCGTATCCCATGGGCGTGTTGCCGGCAGAGAGCAGACGCTCCTTGGAGGCAGCAAAAGGGGTGTCCTGAGGCGTGAGACCGTCGCCGTTGTCGGATGGTAGAGCGTATCTTCCAGAAGCAGAAGCGTTTTCGGACAACTGCGCAATCTCCATCCAGCATCTCTCGCTGAGGAAGACACCGGTGGATCCAATTCTGACCTCGTTGCTCGGCCAATGCCTATCTTCAACGACAAGCTCAACACGTTCCTTCTCAGAACCAACGAGAATGGTGTCGGAGTCGGCCAAGCCCAAGAATTCGCCGAATGGGAGGAAGAGACTGAAATCAGCCGAACGCAGACGCTGGCTGATCTCGGCGATTCCGAACGTTTGCACCTGGGTGCGAACGCACTTGCTGTCGAATTGGTTGGCGATACGCCTGTCATTGGGCTTCAAGCAGAACACAAAGTAGGAGTTGGTGCTGGGATCAGCCACTGCCTTGGTAACGTTCTCCAAGGATGCAAGGAATTGACCGGATGCCCCCTGCTCCGACGCCTGAAGCCTGGAGCCGCCGGCTTGGGAATTGCCATCGCTCAACCTGTCCAGTTCTTCTTGAGCTTCCTCTTGCTGCTGCTGTTGATATCGTTGAATGCGAGCCTGGTTGCGAGCGGTCCTAGTGGTCTTTCGCGACATAACGCTGGGTGCTCTTGTTGGCTTGGAGCTGATGGTAGCCTGCATCACAGTCGACCTCTCCTTGGGGTGAGTAACTGTGCGTAGAGCCTTTTGACCAAACAAACGAGCAACAAACTCGCTCTTGGTGGAATTGATCATGTTGAGCAAATCGCCAGAAATTACCTCGCCGTTCTCCTCAATGATGCCCTTCACGGGGTAATCAACTTCACCTGCAAAGTGTTTGACGGTGAAAAGAGCTGCCGTGTTCTCGGTAAGGAAGTTGCTGCCTGGGAGTCTCGCAGTTGTGGAGCCAGGAGTGATGGCGGGATTCTTGCCCTCGAAACGCTTGCGCAGACTCTCGAGGAACTGGTGATCGGTGCGGTTCCTCCGGGTCTGGTCATCCAAAATGCTGAGCAAGCCGTTCCCAGGCTTGAGTAGGCCCCTGACGGCATCGGAGTTATCGAAATAGCTGGTAGCTGCAACGCTTACCTCCTCATTCTCAAGCATGTCTGCCTTGCGATCGAAGAAGTTTTGTAGCGTCAAGTTGTAGAGAGCTTCGCAAGCAGCGTTGTTGAGAAGTTGGTCAAGAGCTGAATGAGTTGCCGCCTGTTGGGCGAAACCGGGGAAGTCAATGATAGACACAGTGTTCGCGACGCTCTCTTCAGGGGCGCAGATTCTTTGGTTGATAGACTCGACAATGTACGCAACCAAGAGGGAGTAGAGGGTACGCGCCAGCTCGTTGGCGTGGGACCGGGCACCGGTCGGATCCAGCATGACAGTGACGCGCTCCTTGTGAATCATCTTCGTCTTGTATGACAGGGTCGTCTGCAAGTCTTGGGTGCCGACACCCAAGAAGGCAGCAACGATGCTGAGGACATCCTTATTCTTGACAGCCGTCACGGTCTGGCCTCCCTCGTGGGAGAAACCACCGCTGTCGTCGCCGGTGATCTGGGTGTTGGACGTCGTTTCGAACTCAAGCTGGCCAATGTGCAAGATGCCGGCCAAGATCTGGCAAATCTCGGCGATTTCGCTTCTGGGAAACTCCAACTTCTTTAGCGCATTCTTGAAGACCTGGAAGCCCTCAGCATCATTGATGCCGACCTTGAGCTGAGTGGGGTGACCAAGATATTTCCACCTCTTTTGAACAGCACCAGCCGGGGTCTCGAAGCCAAGATGGGCCTTCTCCGCGGCGCTGGTACCCGCCATAAGGTAGTACAAGATGTGGAAGTTGCGTTCCCCCGTCGGGATGTCTGTAATACGGCTCCTCTCAAGTCTGTGGTCCAGAAGCTTGGCACCGATAAGCACCGGGTTGGTTGTTGTGGCCGTGTCATACTGAAGTTCGTAGAAAAGACCCGCCTTGGAGGCTGTTGGGGTCGTCGCAGTTTTGGTTGTGGTGAGGGTATCGAAAACGTAGGCAGCGAGAGATACTTTCGTAGAGAGAGGAGTTGAGGACTTGCCCAGGAACGCGGTCAAGAGGTGGGATCGAATGGTGGACTTTCCTGAGCCAGATTCACCCCTATTTGCATAGTCAGTACGAAACAGCCAAAAAGATCAAGATGGAGCTACAAATGCGTACAGAAAGACGACGGCCTGGTTCTCTGATCTGTGACCCAATCTGACCCACGCCCGGTCTGCGATATCCTCAGCGCCAGCCATGGCACTCCCTTCCTTGCCTCCATCAGGACCCTTGGCGGATGAGGTGTAGGTATTGAGGGAAATGAGGGCGTGGGATGACAGTCGAGCAGTCGGCAGCGAGACGTGAAAACGACTGGCCAAATGGGCAGTCAATTGCGTGTCTGACTGTGAATGTGCGGGCAACGAGGGGAGAGAAGGTTGATTATGGGCGCCCCCGCCGTTTCCACCAAGCGGTGGTAGGTTCATTGCCATGCTGGGCACGATGGCGCCGGCGACAATTTGGTGTGGACGAACTCTGCGAACGCGTTTGTCGATCAGTCAATCGCGGAATAAGGAGCTGGAGAGGCTGTAGGTATTCCAAGGCGTGTAAGGAGCCGATGTGGAAGTCGAACAAGGGACAAGATAATCCTGAGGGTGAAATCGAAGTCGAATTAGGCGTGATAGTTGGTAGGCAAACGAGGAGAAGTCGAAAACTCAAAACGAAGGAGGCGTGCCACAACAACAACAGCACTTGCTATGCAAGAAACGAGCGTGCAGGGAGAGGTGAAGAAAGGGAAGAGCGGACTAGTCCACCAAGGCTGAGATGACCGAGTGAGAGAAGCTCGAGGCACGAAACGAACGAAGCGGTTCCTCTCTGTAGCTCTCTCTTTCTGGGCAATCAATCGTGCGTGCTCTTCTTCGCGCGCGCTGAATCCCACTTTTCCCTTCAAATGCTAAGGGAGCCAGCAGCAGAGGCAGAGAGGTAGAATGGTGCAACGGGGGGCGCGTAACAGCAACGAGCGAATATGGTAACTGGGAAAGGGGATTGTTTTCTTCGGGGCGCAAGTATCCTCAGTAGTTTCATACGGCGGACGAAATAGACCTAGAACGTAGTTCTTTCCCATACGAACTGTGTGCCACGAGCACCACACACACATTGGACACGCAGTGGAGACCGGGAACAATTCACGACACCTCCGTCAGCATCAAGGCATTGCCTGCCTATTGTCGTCTCAATCCAGGCTCGGGGACGACGAAATGACAAGCCCTTACCCCTGCTCGTTTTTCTTCTCGACTATTCCCATTCCTGTATTTCCTGATCTCGGTTTGTAGTGGATCAAGTGCGGCGCACTGTGCTTCCAACGCTGACCATACTGACCTCGTTCCATGTGTACATTTCCACTCTTCATTCTGATGTGTCCGTACTCCTAGCGTAGAGAGTGTATCCTATGCAGTGTTCGCCAGTGTTCTCTCAGTGTCTACGTAGATATCCCCTCCGGCTTCCTCATCGTCCAGCGGTTCGTTGCGGGGTTCCTTGAGCCTGTTGCCGTCAAGCTACGATGCTTATGGACATGAGTACACTCCAGCCAGCAAGTTGGTACCCGTATACCTACATACGTGCACTCGCACATCGCTAGCGTGGGTTCTATTCCTGTCCGTTCGTACCGAAGGTATCACTGCGCCTCGCGTCGTCTGAACTCCCGAACAAACCAGTAAACAGCAAAGACATGATGAGGTAATACTCTCGCAGGGCGCTTGTCGCATACAAGTCATGTCGCTGTATAGGGTAGAATGGCTCCAATGGAGTCGGGACCAAGAAACCGCTGGCGGTCCGAAGATCATCATGGTAATCAACGCTCCCCGGGTGAAGATTAGATTGATCGGGTGAGGCCTGAAGTTCTCCCGCGGGCCCCCTTTCCCACCGGGCTCTACAGGCGTGCCTTGGCGGCCTTTGAGGTGAGACTATGACAACATCGAGTGGTATTGAGATCAGGGGTGTTCTCACTGTGTAAGCCGCCGGTTTTGTTTTTGCAGCGTTTCGCCGTTGCAATCATAGTGCCGGGCATGGGGAATAGGCGCGTCTTGTCCCACTATATGCATTTCCGCTGCTCTCGTCTCCTTTGGGGGCCGTCACCAGGACACGAAAGGCACAAGATGGCATTGCATACGCCAGAATCGGTAGCAACGAGGCTGTTTGAAGTTGGCTTCACAGGCACATGGGCGACAGCTAGCCGGATTGAAACAAAACGTTGGAGGCCGCAACGATGGACTGAGGTTCAAAAATGCCCTACCTAAACTTTGTGCACCCATTAGAAGACGGGTTGCTGCGTGGCGTCCCAACTCCCAACAACGGCGTTTTCGCACATGTCTCCGTATCAAGGGCCGCAGAATTCGCCGGTGATGGCGAAGAGGATGACGATGATGGCGGTTCAAGGGGTAACAGGAGACTGAATGTTTCCTGGTCCGATAGGACAGCGGCGAGGAATGTGTCTACTCTGGCAACTTGCAGCATCTGGAATGCAGTGTGTAATTGCACGATGTCCCTGTAGCAACATGCGAGGATGATGTTGACGGGAATGTATTGTTCGGAGCGTGCTTGAGAGGAGGTGGTGTTCATCCCATAAACAGCCATCGGACGAGCATCGGAATGACAATAAGTATAAGTGGAGGGCGGTGTTCTGAGTTTGAATGTGAAGGAAGCATACTTGCATGGTTGATGTCTGATGAGTTGCAGGCACTGGGCAGTTTGGATGGCAGGCGGTTCGAGCCGCGAAGTCGTTGCTGTTCCCTGGGTGCTCTGGCCTCTGCCACGGTGGGAGGAGACGTGGAGAACCCGGGCTTGGGCCTTGATTGCCTCGAATTATCATCGTCTCAATTAGAGAAGGAAATGTGGTGCGGACTGTACTGCGTAGGTAGGTACCTGCATACCTGGGGAAGTCACTCAGAACACAGTGCACAGAGAGTCCCTTTCCTCTCCGTCACGGCACGTCCAGCACCTTCGGCAGAATGATACGTACCTTACCCGCGGGTTAGTCGGGGGATTCCATTGCTAGCAGATGGAAAGGACAGGGAAGCAGCCGAGAAAAGATTGCAAGGAAGCCCGGGTGTGGGCCAAAGACTGAGCGGGACGCCAGGCAGGGGTAGGCTAAAAAGAAGGGAAAAAAAAAAAAAAAAAAAAAAAAAAGGACCTGTAAAATGATGATGTAGGGTAAAAACGAGAGACAGAGAGACGGAGCAAGAGACGGGGCAAGTACTGGGTGTGCAGTGGGTGGACGCTTGAAGAAAATTGGGAAAAAAGGGGGCCGTGGGGTTCCATCTACTGGGTCTGGAAAGAGCCGGTGTTGAATGGGCCCATCGGCCGCTAACCCGCTGGATGGTCCAAAAAAAGCACTGGGCTGCATCACGTCTCGTCCATCTATCCGTACCTACCTACCTACCTTACCTTACGATGCGAGGGAATGACTGACCTCAAGATAAGGTAAGGTAAGGTAAGGTAAGGTAAGGTAAGGTAAGGTACCTCAGCTTACCTCACACTACACCCTCTGCGAATACAAAACTAAGGCAACTAGAGCTGTAGTGTCATTCGCATACATCAGATTCAGACTACGTACTTGAGTACGCAGCAAAAAGGAAGAGGAAGAAGAAAAAAAAACCGTCAGGCCAACAATACCTACTCGGTGCACAGCCTCATCGCGTTCCAGCCCGATTGCTCACCAACCAACCATCTCCTCAGCCAAGCCAACTCCGGCCATGCATCCTATGCCGTCAGTTATGAGCACCAATCGGCGGGAAAAAGAGGGACGCCCCATGCACCGAGAGGGGGTCGGTAAAAGAACAACTGCTACTTCTACTGCTACTACTGCTACTACCACTACAACAACAACAACAATAATAACAATAACACACATGTTGGTTCAGTGATATCGTATAATGTTACTAAAACCAGGGAAGAAGCGGGCTGTTGTCTCTTCAGCTGGGAGACATTCAGCCAACCAGCCGTGGCCAGCCCAGCCAGCCCAGCCACCATCTCGCATTCACGACGGTGGCAGTTACAAACGCACAGAGCTTGTTGATGCATCCTTAACTTCCAACCCAAAGGTATGGAGACACGTATGAGCTTCCTTCTTCCTGCCGGAACCACGAGATCAGCTGAACTGTTGCAGTGCGTGAGGACGAGCGTAATTACACGGACGCCCTGCACCCACTGTTCATCCATCGCCCGTCCGATGATTCATGCCGCCGTTTGGAATATGGAATCGCCTCAGGACTCAGCAGGACCCTTCATAGAAGCACTGGTTGAGGCCGCGGTCATTGCGTATGCAGTTGCATGGCAGAGTCGCACTCTGAGGAAGCCGCCGTCGGCACCAAGAACATGCTGCAGATACGCAGCTCGCATTTAGTGTAATGCATTTTCCACCGTTCGATCGGCTGGGTGGGCCGACTTCTCGCCCTCTCCACTGCCTCCCCGGGCGTGTCCCGGGGCTCCAGGCTCGTATTTGTTCCAAGAAAAGGACTGCCCGCGGCCGGATCTGCAGCAGTCCCAGTCAAGCCACTGTACTAGTGGCCACGGCGGCGAATTCGCGACGAACGACTGTGGACTCGCGGAGACGGGCGAGTGGCGGCTGGGCGTACGAAGTAATGCTTGCTCGTGTTTTCTACTACCATAGTATGTACGGATATTTGTTATGGAACAATGTCGTCTTTGACTGAGAATCTGGTTTTGAGCGTGTTGCATGTTGCATCCCCCCCTGTTCCGCTGTGGCAGTTATGCCCTGGTCTGTCATGCGTGTTGCATTGCCTTGGCACATCGGACCAGCACGACGATGGTCAACTCCTGGCGCTTGCGAGCTACCGGTGGCAAAGCACACACGATGGATGTTCGGTTGTCAAAGAACCGCCGCCGTCGCCGTTGTCGTGGAGGGGGTCGTTTGGCAACCTCGTGCAGTTAGTTGCTTGTATTCGCCCTTTTTTTTTTTTCTTTTTTTTTCTCTCTCTCTCTCTCTCTCTGAAAGCCATTGTGGGCCATCAGCCCCAGCTATGGATGCACCAGGTAAAACTTGCTTCTGCTTCTGCAATGAATGACTGATTCCAAGCACTCCCAGAGTTGTCATCGTACGGATGCCTGCCCTGTGACTTCCTGGGGTAAGGTGTCTGCGGACATCTGGAATTCATGTGAATGCATCAAGTGGCTGAGGTTGAAGACGTCGCGTACTCGCAGTATGAAGCAGGCAAACGCAGGTTAGGTAAGTCGGGGTTTCTTTACAGTGCAAGCCCGCGGGCCGACCGGTGGGATTGACCACTCCATTCTGCGCAGCAGTGCAAGGAACCTGAGCCCCATGCTGAGTTTAGGGAGTGCCCTTGGCGACGTTGCCGGGGTCTCCTTTCTTTCGTCCAAAATTGGCCGGGGGTCTCTGGAGTGACACTTTGCGTCTTGGGCGTGTTCCGCCCGCCTCATCCCAGGGGCCAAGGCAAGGAAGGCGACGAAATCAAAGGAAGGGAAGGGGGTGTGATCAGAAGGGGGTTCAAAAAAATCTCAAAAGGCACGCGTGCTGTATTTTGATGTGCTGTACGAGCTGAGTGGCAGGCCCATGGTGTGGTGAACCGTCAGATCGGGCTTCCCTAAGGTAAGCTGCAGAACAATGCGATATCGCATGACAGCACCCTCGGGAGTTCTCAGCCTCTATTTGGGACACGCTCGTACTGTTCCTCTTGCTGCGTTGCGGCAGACCATCCCCGAACTTTCAGTGTTCACTCGTTCGGCTCCTATTACCTATCCATCTGTACGAGACCCACGTTCCGTCACTCCCTAAACTTCCTGGTCTGCAGCCTGGCTGCTTCTATTACCTACCTACCTAGGTAGCTGTGTCCTATGCTTTGCCTGCTCCTCCGCCTGCGTCTGTACCTCTGCCTTACCTACCTACCTACCTAGGTGCCTGAGGGAAAACCTGCAAAATCGAGGTACCTGCTTCACCTGCCCCCCCCCCCCCCCCTCCCCTTTCGCCTGTCACCCTCTTCCATCACTCTCATCTTCAGTTGTCGAAGCCTTGGACAGGGAACTTGGCTTTTCTTCCTCCTACCTCTTTTCCCCCTCGACAGACGCCTCACTCGCTTTGGTGATCTGATTGTCCCATCGTTCGCTGAGTTTTTGGATCTCTCTCCTGCTTTCGATTTACTGTCGACTTCTTCGTTTGTTTGCCGGAAGGCAAGAAGAGAAAGGGAGAAATCGGCTTCGCGCCCACCTTCGAAGCACAACTTTACGCGTTGCTCAGCGAAAAATCGCATTGCACTCCGTCTCAATCCGTCTTACCACTCCTCGTAATAGCACAACCACAGAATAACTCGCTTCCTTTCTTCCTCGTCGCCTTCTGTTATTCTCTCCATCCACGGCTGCCCTTCGCTCTCTAGGCCACGACCTCGACGCCTGTTCAACTTTCGTTCGTAACCCAATCCGTCTTACAAACGACCCCGAATAGAGTCCTGACCCTCCGAGGGGGCTGTCCACGCCGGACATCACGATTCGAACCCCATCAACATGGCCAGCGGTCGAATGTCCATGTACTCGGTGGCATCCGAGGGTCTTGGAGGCCCTCGTGGTGCCCAACAGTCTACCCCTGTGTCAACCACCACTCTCCTCAACGCCGTTCACAACATCTACTTGTCGTCCCAGCCCTACAATCTGGATGCTGGGACGAGCCTCGTCGTCAACACATGGCTCACCGCAGCTCAGGCCGGCTCCGATGGAAGACCCGGTGGCACCATAGACCCTACCCTCGGTGCGAGAGCATGGGAACACGCTCGTCGCCGTGCCGAGGACGGCTGCATCGTCCTTGGGTAAGACTCAATACACTTTGTACTTGGTCTCAACTGGATTGGTCGCTGATTTCTCCCAGGTCTCTTCACACATCGACGCCCTCTGTCCTCACCCCGTTCCTCTCATCTCTCCCCCTCTCGATCCCCTCGTCGGTTTTCAGGTCATTGGAAGCCATCCAACCATTCCTCAGGTGCTCTACCCCATACAACCCTTCTGCATCTCGCCAGTCTGCTCTCGGTGTCACCTTGACACTTAACCTGACGGGAAATCTTCATGGGGCATCAGTTTCCTTGTCTCAGGGCGGCATTGATACTGCCAAGGGTCTGCTTAGTATTCCTCCTGAGGCCGGATATCGCGCCTTTGACGTTTTCTACTACCTCCTCACTTCGGCTTCCACCCCTGCCGAGAGAGAATTCTTAGGCCTGAAGGCTGCCTCCAACTACGCTCTACTTTCCAGATCCGGCACATACGACCCTCCCTCTTATCTGCCGACCGCCGATGATGCTGCCGCTGCTGATGACTTCCGCTCCGCCTTGAAAGAAATCGGTATCAAGGGTTCCGCTCACCGCAACCTGATTTCCACACTTGCAGGCTTATTGAAGCTTGGTGACACTCTGGACTACCATGTCGATGAGGAGGTCTTCGAGGAAATCTGCGAGGATGTCAGTGGGCTGCTAGGCATGGATCCCGAGACCCTTGCCAGGCAGTGTACAACCCAGGACCGATCGACCTTTGTTGCTGGTCTTTACGAGGCACTGGTCGATTGGGTCATCTCCAAAGCCAACGAGGCCATTTCTGCCCAGATGCAGCGTATCAAAGATGGTGCTGAGTCCATTGACGGCCGCGGCACTCATACGCCCACTTCCAATGGTGACAGCGGAGACACCGTCTGTATCACTATATTGGATGTGCCTGATCCGAATTTGGGCAAGGCTTTGTCTATGAGGGGGATATTCGATGATACTCTTGGCATTAATGCTGAGATGATTGCGGATGGCGTTGAAGTCCCCCCTGCAGGCAGCACTATCGTGCGAGAGATGCAGACTGCGATTGGCGAGGTCGGCCCTGAGATGGGCATCATGTCAGGTGCGGCCGGTAAGGACCGTCAGCATGAGTTGGAGAAGCGTGAGGAGGTCCTCGAGAAGATTGGACATTCTGCAGACGACGATGCTTTCCTCAAGAAGTTGCTTTTCCCCGTTGCGGGCGAAGGCATCACCTTGGGACGTGCTGGTCGCATCGACCTGTTGTCTTTGATGAGCTCCAGCCGTGTTTGGTACCATCTTGCCGTTCATCCTACTGACGATTCACCTGCAAGCTTGGCTGCCCTGCCCTCGGTGAATTCTGCCTGGTCCGCTGGTACCGTTTCCCGCCAGCTTCGCGCCTGGCGCCTGCCTGAATGGGCCAACAGACGCAACAAGAACCTCGACTTCACAGCAGACTTCGACATTGACGAGTTTGTCCAACGTTATGCCGCGCTTGGCTGTAAAGATGGCCGTGAGGGCATTGAAACCTGGATTCTCGAGCGCGGATGGACCAATGGCGAAGTAGTCATCGGTAAAGAACGTGTTTGGGTACGGGAGGCTGCGTGGTGGGAGGCCGAGAGCATGCTTGATATGAAGCCACTGGACAACAACCTTCCTGGCATGGGTAACGTCATGGTTGCCAACAACTTGGAGTCGGGATACTCGGCAAACGGCAGCGGCTACTTCCCAACTCCCATGCTTGGCGAAACAACTCCTAATGGTAGCCGTGATCACCTCATTGCTCATCAGCGAAACTACAGCCAAGGCAATCTCTCCCAAGCCACGCTGAACCACAACAACGCCATGCGAGCACCATCCATTGCCCCTTCTGGAATGCGCAATGTGCAACAGTCAGGAGACTATGGACTGGGTACAAAGGGTGATACTTACAAGGGCCAAGTTTTCTACAACAACGAGGGCGAATTCGTCGGACAGATGGATCCCGAGCTTGCTGACGGCAAACATGTCGAAACCAAGGAGATGACCAAGGAGCGACGGATTTGGGTCGCAATCGTCTGGGCTTGGACCTGGTGGATTCCTTCTCCTCTGTTGAGTTTTGTTGGCCGAATGAAGCGGCCCGATGTCCGCATGGCCTGGCGCGAGAAGCTCGTCCTCGTTTGGTTCATCATTCTCATGAATGCTGCCATCGTCTTTTGGATTATCTGGTTCGGAAAACTCTTGTGCCCCAACTTCGACAAGGCTTGGAATACCAAAGAAGTCGGGTATCATGGTGGCGAAACCGACTTTTATGTCAGCGTTCGAGGTCGCGTTTACGACATTTCGAAGTTCTGGAAGACGCAACACTCTGACACGGCCATCGAGACCACCAAGGACAATATGTTGCCATTCGCGGGTATGAACTTGGACGAGTACTTTCCCCCTCCCCTGACGCTGGTATGTCCTGGTCTCGGACTCGCGGAAACCACTCAGTTGACGGCGAACAACACCCCGGAGTACACCACGGGTGTCCATACGTCTGGCTACTACGCTTCCGACCGCACCAGTGCTTTGGGCAACACCGACTGGTACAGCAAGACGTTCCTGCCCCGTATGAAGGAATACTACAAGGGTGACCTCGTCTGGGACAAAAAGACTGTGTCAGATGAAGGCTCCAACGACAGCCACATGTGGGTTATCTATGATGGCGCCGTCTACGACTTGACCGACTATTATAATACCATGGATATACAGAAGAACGTCGACACGTACAAGTTTCTCAATACGAAACTTACCAACGTCGTTTCCAACAACCCTGGCGAAGATGTCACAGACTTGTGGAACGACGTCATAAAGACTGCGGCCACGAACACGACCGAGAACACATCTGTGCAGAACAGTATGAACTGCATAAAGAATCTTTTCTACGTTGGTATTCCGGACTTCCGTAACTCCGCCAAGTGTCAAGCAAACAACTACATTATGTTAGCGATGACGATCATTCTCTGCTCCGTCATTCTTATCAAGTTTTTGTCCGCCCTTCAGTTTGGCTCGAAGCGACGTCCAGCTCCCCAGGACAAGTTTGTTATCTGCCAGGTTCCTGCCTATACTGAAGGCGAAGACTCACTACGGAAAGCCCTCGATTCCCTTACAGCCTTGCAATATGACAACAAACGGAAGCTCATTTGCGTCATCTGTGACGGTATCATCGTTGGTGCCGGCAACGATCGTCCAACCCCCAAAATCGTTCTGGATATCCTCGGTGTTGATCCCAAGGTTGACCCACCCGCGCTTCCTTTCAAGTCTGTTGGCACTGGCAGTGAGCAGCTGAATTACGGCAAGGTCTACTCGGGTCTGTACGAGTTTGAGGGAAATGTAGTCCCATACATCGTTGTCGTCAAGGTTGGAAAGGAATCTGAGCAGTCCAAGGCTAAGCCTGGTAACAGAGGCAAGCGTGATTCCCAGATTCTTTTGATGAGCTTCCTCAACAGGGTTCACCACCGCGCTCCCATGAGTCCTCTTGAACTTGAGATGTTCCACCAGATCAACAACATCATTGGGGTTGATCCAGAACTCTACGAGTATCTCATGATGGTTGATGCCGATACCTGCGTCAGGGAAGATTCGCTGAATAGACTTGTATCGGCTTGCGCCAATGACGCCAAGATTGCTGGTATTTGCGGCGAAACCGGCTTGCAGAATGATGACAGAACATGGTGGACTATGATCCAGGTTTACGAGTATTTCATTTCCCACAACCTCGCCAAGGCCTTCGAGTCTCTTTTCGGTAGCGTTACCTGTTTGCCTGGATGGTAAGTCAAAGACTGCCGATGACTTTCGCACTGGGGACACTTGACTAACTCCGCATCAGTTTCACCATGTACCGTCTGCGAACCGTTGACAAGGGCAAGCCGCTCATCATCTCTGACGGCGTAATTCGCGACTACAGTGTTTGCGACGTCGACACCCTTCACAAGAAGAACCTCTTGTCTCTCGGTGAGGATCGTTACCTTACAACGCTGATGACGAAATATTTCCCGTCTATGAAGTACAAATTTATTCCCGATGCGTACTGCCAAACCGCAGCTCCCGAATCGTGGAGCGTTCTTTTGTCTCAACGTCGCCGTTGGATTAACTCTACCATCCACAACCTTTTTGAGTTGATGAAGCTGAAGGAAATGTGCGGATTCTGCTGCTTCAGCATGCGCTTCATCGTCTTCATCGATCTGTTCGGAACCATCATCCTCCCCGCCACCACCGTCTATCTCGGATACCTCATTTACACCTTGGCTACCAGTACTGGCCAGATTCCGTACATTTCCATTATCATGATCGCCGCAGTGTATGGTCTACAAGCCTTGATATTCATCTTGAAGAGACAGTGGCAACATATCGGATGGATGATCATCTACATTCTTGCTTTCCCTATTTACTCCTTCGCCCTTCCCATCTACTCTTTCTGGAACCAGGACAACTTTTCTTGGGGTAACACTCGTATCGTCATTGGAGAGAAGGGCGCTAAGCAGTTGGTCGCTGTTGACGACGAAGGATTTGACCCCAGGAGCATTCCTTTGCAGCGATGGGATGATTACGCCATGGCCAACAACCTTCCTGGACGTCGTGGCGGCTACATGGAGAAGGCCGACATGGGTTATGACGACCAGTACGAGATGGACGAGATCAGGTCGGTCTACTCGTCCGTTCGCCAGGGCTCCGTTCTCACCGGTATGAACCGCAACAACACCTACATGCCGCCTCAGTCCCCGGCTCCTTTCGGAGGCCACATGGCTCGCGCATCGGGTGCGACCAGCCCGTACCACAATGACCAGACCATGGCCAATAGGCAATCGATGGCCTCTCTGGGTACTCACGACATCCATCGCATGCAGACCCCCTATCAAGACTTCCCCGGTAACCGTCCCAGCGTCTCCAACCTACGTGGCCAGGCTAGCCTTTCGCCTGGTCTCGGCGGTAGCCGGTCACAATCAGCACTGGGTCTGAACCGTCCCAGCGCGAACCAATCTACTTCGTCGTTCGACTTCCAGCGTGGCAACATGCAAGGTCCCGACGACGGTATGATCATCGAAGCCATTCAGGGCGTCCTGAGGGAAGTGGACCTCGACACCGTCACAAAGAAGCAAGTGCGTGCTCTGGTTGAGCAGCGGCTGCAGACCGGACTCGTCGGCGAGAGGAGGACGTTCATGGACAGGCAGATCGACAACGAGCTGGCGAACATGTAAAAGATTTGCAAGAGATCGTACATAAGAGCCGTTTCGCTGTCGTATAATGAGGGCATTTGCAGGAAACTGGTCAAAAAATTTGGGGCGTTGCGCAATCGATCATCGAACGAGTTTTACTCGATTACGTCATTTTCGATTCTATCGTTTTTCTCTCTGTTGGTCAGGGGCACATATTTGCTATTGGTAACGCATCAAATGTGGACGGCATCCACTTGGTAATCAATCTCCTAGTAGTTCAATTAATATGTATGAATATCCGAACAGATGATGCGCTATCTTGATGGCGCTCGTGCTGGTAACGCTTCCTACCCCCCTTGCACGTGTGAATCTAAGCTGTTCGACCGAGCGTTGACTGCTTGGCAGTGCATCAGAACGAGGCTTCTATTGAATCTTGCCCACACCATTGAGTCGAAGGTAGACATCAGTACCCCAGCCATATAGACTCTGCACAGCAATGCCACCGCCAAAATACTCAGCATATGCTCGGCTAAGCGGCAGACCGTATCCGAGACCTGCAATAGTGCTTCCGCCTGCACTCGCATTGGATATCACGTTTAACCCATCGTTATCGGAACCAGGAAACTCATCGTCTTCGGAGAAAGTGGTGAATGAGTACGACCAGATGTTGGGCAGTACCTCAGGGGCTATACCACCCCCTCGGTCCCTTATCCGAATGGTCACTCCTGGTACGTTGTCATCCAGCGGCCGTATAGCATCGCTCCTAAATTCACCCCTACCCTCTTTGGGCACGTCAATCTTGAGGGGCTGCCCCGACTGCTTGCGAGCGGGCGGCTCGGGAGCGATCGTTACCACGATAGGCTCCTTGTTGTCACGGTGTTCTACGGTGGCTCGGAAGGCATTCTTGAGCAGCTCGGTGACGATGTACTCGAGATGCATTGGCACAAAGGCAAAAGTAGTGTCTGGTTCTCCATCAATGATCAAGTGTGGGCGAACGCCGTACCGCAGTTCGCAAATGTCGGCAACGAAGCCAGCGCAGGATTCGACAATGTGAGCAGGACGTAGAGCGGTGTCGATAACGCCAATATAGCTGGGATGCTCCGGACATGGCGTCGGACTGGCACCCGGGTCGAAATGCGGCTGGCTGCTGTAGTGAAGGGCGATGTGCTGCTCGGCCACGAGGCGTGTGCCTATGCGAGCACGGAGATGTTCATCAAGAAAGCGAGTGACTTCTGCGGGGCTTATGTAGCGGCGGCACTCGAGGAAACCCCGAGCAAGAATCGGTATGGTATCGGTGTGTGTCGCGACGAGCTCTGCCAGGACCTCTGTGAAGCGAATCTCATCGTCGAGCGTCCGAACCGCATTCTCGCCGCCCTTGCCGCCCTTAGTCCACCAAGGAAGTAGTGTCGAGAGGGAGTGGACGTAGTTGTTATAGATTCGACTAATGTTGGGGTTCGACACTACGATATATGGCAGGTTTCGGAGGGCCTGGATGCGGTGGGCAAGGCGAATGGGTAGTAGTGACAGGGTGAAGTTGGCCGAAGAGAAGAGGGACTTTTCGCTCAGCGGAGGACGGCCATGTCTAGGTTGGGTTGACCAAACGTCAGATTGATAAGCTCATGGGAATATCGGGCTGGGAGGGTCATCAATACTTGACCAAATCGGCGAGGCTCAGTGGATGCTGAGGTTTCTTGGCCAGCTGCACAATCTCGTGTTCGTCGACACGCGACAGATAGGAAGAGTTGGCACCGCCGTGGCCATGGCGTGAGGTGAAGAAACGGCAAGGGTAAGAAGAGCAGGCTCGTAGGGGTATCCTCTGGGGCTGTGTGAGCCTCGACGGTCTAGCGATACTCCTCATGGCGGCATTGTAAGAGCTGTAGTTGCGATTTTGCGGTCAAGGAGTGCGAGGGAGAGAGCTTTGGCTTAGCAAGGAATGAGATCATATGCATCAGGACAAGAGTCTTGACTCGGAACGAATTAGACGCAGGGAGCTGATCTTAGCGCAGTCACCGGGTGCTGTCCGTGCTGCATGGGGCTTGAAGGCAGGGGTGGCTAGTGGCATAGACCGATCCCTGTGGCTTCCGTGCCGGGTGATGAGACACGGGCGGGGGCCGATGCCAACCGCGGGGCGCTTCAAGCAAATGGCGGCCGAAGGGTACGGAGAACGAATGGTGCCGAGACACATGACTGTCACTCATCCAGAGACAATCTTGAGAGGGGATGCGCGGTGGTGTAGACAATCCCAGCGAAACGCGAGGCTCTGCTGTAACGCCATGGATCTTTCACGTGTGTCACGCATAGAGCCTAGAAGGTGCAAGTGGGAGGGGAAAGAAAAGAAGAGCATCAAATCATTACGGACGTCATGATTCTAGTTAAGGTATGTACTGAATCGGGTACAAGGCTCATTGAAACCGCAAGCAAAGCCTTGCTCGGTGTCTATTGCGTGCGAACCTCCTGGTCCTTCTCGACGTGCTTGACATGCTCGTGTTTCTCGAGAGTGGAGATTTGGTCTTCGGGAAACTCGACACTGACGGAGTTGATTAGGTCAGTCGTAGTCAGCATAAAGGGACTATATAGTCGCAGTGACTTACGAAAAACCCTTGATCAGGCTGTACTCATGGCCAATCTTTCCACCCTGGTCCTCGGCGTGCTTCTTGGCCCTGCGTGTACAGTTAAAACGTGTGCTTCATGAAACGTAGTTGCCGACTTACGCCTGGAATTGCTCCGGAGTGGCATCCTCCTTGCAGGTGACCTAGGAAAGCATCACGTCAACAAGATGCGTTCCAGAAACAACGTCAAAAGCAAGCTTGATACATACAATGTAGGTAGGCATGGTGACGGGCTGTATGGAGTGGAAAGAGTTTTGAGGTTGGTAGTATGTGCCGACGATTTTGGGTGTGTGTAGAGATTGAAGCAGATGATGAAGTGAAATTACCAGGTAGGAGTGCGCCTGCAAGGCAGTCTTTATAATCAGGCCAACGGGTCTCATACGTGCCCGGTTTTCCCAGGCATGGAAGGCACAGACAGGTCAGGAAGGTCAGTAGGAAGGTAAGGTAGGGAGAACAGGCCAGTAGCAAGGCTTGAACGGGGTGTGGGAACTTCGCGACTTGCCGGGAACTAAAAGTGACGCGAAGTTTGCTTCTGAGGAGACAGCGTACCGTAGGCGGTGCTTCAGTGTGGCCCATGCAACGTGAGCGTCAGGTAGGTAGGTAGGTGAGGATGTGTGTGAGTGGCACGTACGGAGAGCATTCAACCCCCATCCATCACGGACACCTCAATGAGGTGTCCCACACCTGCCAATACGTCATCCCATAACGCACTTGAACCCTCCACGTCGTCTGCGTGTGCTGTGGCTGCCTCAAGCCAGCCACCGCCCTTAACCCACGCGCGTGGAGCGCATATCACATCTGAATGAACACCGCTACTGCGTAACTACGCCCCAGACCATGTCCGCCGCTCGTGTACCAGATTACAGATAAGAAATCTTACCGACCTAATCCGCAGCTTCAGTGTTCGAGCGTCTGTCTTGTTTCTTCAGGCATGATGCGTCTGCTCGCAGACGATTGCGGAGCCCCTTGGTGTCTTGTGACTCGACGCAGAAGCCAATCAAGGCCTATCTGCCAAGTATCATCATCCGCCTCGACGACACTCGTCATCGGCTATGCCGTCACTGCTGACTATGGCTGGTTTGCAGAAATGTCGCCTCGCGTGAAATAGATACCTATCTCTGGCTGGCCATCATCCCGCAGTAGCTTCTCAACTGTAACCAGATGCTGCTGGGCAAGGGCCGTGGCCTGTTCATTCATTCTAATTGGGATGTACAAGAATAACGTACGCCTCCCAACCGGCTCATCTCAGGTGTCCATTTGTGTTGGTTGTGATACAACGCCTCGATGATCGGCCTCATCGACAGAGTCAAGGGGAGAGAGAGAGGGAGGGAGGGGTAGTGCAAGAGGGGTAACGCAACCTGTGCAGTGCGTTAGCTTACCTCCCTACAGGGACGAGGTACGTAGTGGGGTCCATGCAATGGGTCAGTGATCTTATCGATACACTACCGCGATAAGATAAGACGAGACCCATAACAAATTTTCTGGTAAGCTAAGGAAGGTAAGTGCGCAGCGTCGCGACCAGAGGAAAAAAAATATTGGATGCGCTCGCCGGTTGCTACAGGCATCCTCAAAAGTACTGGTTAACACTGCCGCCATCATGGACGACCAAGTGCACAAGCCTCACCGCAAGGCGAAGGACAAGAAGAAAGGTCATACTGGAGGTAAACTACATGGATCTGACCTTGGCTGCATTCAGTTCAATACTCACAAGCGCTCCAGATCGAAACCCCAAGGCTTTCACCTTCTCCAACCCCGGAAAGCTTCTAAAGTCCAACGCGCGATCTGCCGACGTACGCACCCCTGAACCGACGGCACTCTACACAAGCGTTGACTAATGCTTTTGGATAGATCAAAGAAAGGCGATTTCATGTGCCTCTCGTCGACCGACTCCCCGACGAGCCGCCACCAAAGCTGGTCACCATCATAGGACCTCCTGGTGTCGGCAAAACGACTCTACTCAAATCTCTGATCCGTCGATATGCGAAGGAGACCATTTCCGACCCCCAGGGTCCCATCACCGTTGTTACATCAAAGAAGCAGCGGCTGACATTCGTCGAGTGTCCCAATCAACTCGAGGCCATGGTCGACTTGGCCAAGATCGCAGATATCGTCCTGCTGATGATCGATGGCAACTACGGCTTCGAGATGGAGACAATGGAAGCCTTGAATATATTTAGCTCCGTCGGCATGCCCGGGAACGTCTTCACGATTCTGACTCACTTGGACTTGTTCAAGAAAGTTCAGACTTTGAAAGATGCGAAGAAGCGGATCAAGAGGAGACTTTGGAGCGAGCTCTACCAAGGCGCACACCTCTTCTATCTCTCAGGAGTTATGAATGGGCGTTATCCTGACCGTGAGATTCACAATCTCTCGCGCTTCCTCTCCGTGATGAAGAATCCGCGACCATTGGTCTGGAGAAACTCCCATCCTTACACCATCGTCGACAGCTACCGAGACATCACCCATCCGACCAAGATCGAGGAGGACCCCAAGTGCGACCGCTCTGTTGTTGTTTCAGGCTACCTCAGAGGAACTAACTTTGCCTCCCAAGGCCAAAGAGTGCATATTCCCGGCCTTGGGGACTTTACCGTCGCCAACCTCGAGGTGCTTCCAGACCCCTGCCCGACTCCAGCTATGGAACAAGCCATGGCAAAGATTACAGGCAAGACGACACGCCGACGCCTAGACGAGAAGGAGAAGAAACTATACGCCCCCTTGTCAGATCGCAGCGGTCTCAAGATCGACGGTGACGCAATTTGGATCACAAGGGAAAAGGGGTTCAACTTCGACAAGGACGCCGAAGATGGCGAGAGGGGCGAAGGTGAAGAGCTCATTGTTGGACTTCAGGGTGAGCGGAAGTTGCTAGGTCAGACTGAGGAGGGTGTCCAGCTTTTCAAGGGCGGCGAACAATTGAAAGACGTTGTCGAGGACAATGATACTGGCCGAAAGACCCAACGATTTGCGCATCTCCCGGACCGGGATGGAGAGTCCGATGAGGAGATGGTCGATGACGAGGGTTTCGTCAGTGGTGAAGAGGATGGCGAGTCTGACGTTGAAGAAGAATTCGACGAGGGCAAGCTCGGCAAGATCTTCCTCAAGGATTCTGAAAGGGATGGCGACGATGAGGATGTAGCCTTCGCTGACAGTGACTCTGACCTCGGATCCATTTCTGGGCTGGAAGATGAGGACGGGGACATGGATGGTGAAGGCTTCGACTCGGACGAGGAGGCGGCCGCTCTGAAGTGGAAGGAAAACATGGCGGAGCGCGCCAAGAGGCTGCATGGCAAGAGACGTTCCTATCATATACCGGATCTCGCTAGGTTCATGTATGACGACTCTATAACACCACAGGAAGCACTGAAGAGGTGGCGTGGTGAGGACCGAGAGGGGGAAGAAGATATCGAAGCTTCAGAGGACGACGACGATTTCTTCAAAAAGTCCAAACAGGAGACGGACGACAAAGTGGAGGATAGGTCGATACCCATGTACGACTATCAGGATTTGGCCGCAAAGTGGTCTCTTCAGGCAAATGTGGAGGCATTGAGGCGCCGGTTCACAACATCGGCGTCACGAGGTGGGGATGACGATGAATTTGACGGCATCGATGATGACCAGGACGATGACGAAGGCGACGGTGTCTTCGAGGACCTGGAAACCGGAGAACAGCACGGCCCCGAAGAGCCCGACGAAGAGGAAAACTTCGAGGACGAGCGTGAAAGGAACGCGAAACGCAAAGAGGAACTCAAACTACGGTTTGAGGAAGAAGATAGGGAAGGATTCCTCAACGACAAAGCAAATGCCCAGAGGGAAGGCGGCGAACAGGAATTCGGCGAGGACGAGTGGTACGAATCGCAAAAGGCCCTTATCCAGAAGCAGCTGGATATCAACAAGGCAGAGTTCGAAAACCTTGACGAGAGGCAGAGAGCTGTTGTCGAGGGCTTCAAGGCCGGCAAGTATGCCAAGATTGTCCTGGACGGTATTCCGGCCGAGTTCGTTCAGATGTTCGATGCGAAGATGCCTCTAATTCTTGGTGGTCTGAGCCCTACCGAGGATCGCTTTGGATATGTGCAGGTCCGAATCAAAAAGCATAGGTGGCACAAAAAGATTCTCAAGACGAACGATCCATTGATCTTCTCCCTCGGCTGGAGGCGATTCCAGACCATGCCTATTTACAGCATCTCAGACTCGAGAACGAGAAATCGCATGCTGAAATACACACCAGAGCATATGCATTGTTTCGCAACCATTTACGGTCCACTCATCGCGCCCAACTCCGGCTTTGTTTGTTTCAATTCCTTCTCGTCATCTAACCCTGGCTTCCGGATTGCAGCAACGGGGACAGTCCTCAGCGTCGACGAATCAACCGAAATCGTCAAGAAGCTCAAGCTCACGGGTACTGCCGACAAGATCCACAAGAACACGGCCTTCATCAAGGGCATGTTCAACTCGTCGCTCGAGATCGCGAAATTCGAGGGCGCGTCCATCAAGACAGTTTCCGGCGTGCGTGGTCAGATCAAACGTGCACTGTCCAAGCCGGAGGGCCATTTCCGTGCCACCTTCGAAGACAAGATTCTGTACAGCGACATCGTCTTCCTGCGAGCATGGTATCCTATCAAGCCACATCGCTTCTACAGCCCCGTAACAAATCTCATCGGCTGGCAGGCGATGCGGCTTACGGGTGAGGTGCGCCGCGCTGAGGGCATCGAGACACCTTCGCAAAAGAACAGCCAGTATCGCAAGATTGAGCGCGAGACTCGCCACTTCAACCCTCTGCGCGTGCCCCGTGCCCTCGCCGCCGAGCTGCCCTTCAAGTCACAGATTGTGCAGGCTCGCAAGCAGAACAAAGAGACCTACATGCAGAAGCGAGCTGTCGTGCTCAACAAGGAGGAGAAGACGGCGCGCAACCTGCTGCAGCAGCTTACCACGATCCGCAACGACAAGGTCGCTCGCCGCGCCGCCAAAAAGGAGGAGAAGCGTGCCGAGTACCGCAAGAAGCTGGCCGAGTCTGAGGAAAAGAAGGAGGCGAGGGAGAAGAAGGAGAGCAAGGAATTCTGGCGTAAGAACGGCAGAAAGCGCCAAGCAGCGGACGAGGGGGCCGGCGGCGGAGGTCAGAAGCGTAGGAAGTAGTGAGGGAATGTCTAGGGCAGGTCAAAAGTCATCTACTACTTTTCGTAGAATATGTAATCAAGGGCGCTTAGCAATTAGTCGCATCAGACAGGCTAAGGCTGCGAAATCATTCAATGAGGGTATCTAACTTCTCCTTGAAAACCAAGACTGTGACTCGAGTCATTCCGCATTTCGAGATGTGTGGTAGTTGGATGGCAAAGTTGACGGCCCGATCCAACATGGCAGTCTATTTCTTTCAGATTGCCCTCGCTACCAACTATCTGTAGTGCAGCAGCCATGTCTGCGTCAGACACTGGTTTGCGATAGCCGCAAGCCGGGATTTTGCATGAGAGCCATGTTGGCCCCTAGCCTTTGAGGGGCCATGCTACTTTGGTCGCTACGCGTCGGTTGAAGAACTGCCACGGCTCGAAAATGGCACGAGCAAGCGATGAGGGCCCATCGATGTAAGCTGGACCGACCCATGGAGCCGGCTCAAGGCAGGGCCATTCTCGTTTTCACCATGGACAGCTCAGAACTTCTTGCCCAGGCGCCGTTTGGAGTCTGGCGATAGCACACCAACTTTCCGTCGTCGCCAGTGCTGGCCAAGATCTGGCCATCATCATCGAAGCCGACGCGCCATACAGGCGTACGATGGCTATCCAGCTTGGCGATTTCTTTGAAAATATGCTTCACTTGTCCTGGCTGGCCCGAGAAGTGCCTCTCTACGTGCGAGCCAGACTTAGCTAGACTGGCACTGAGACCTGATTGAGGCTGCTTGTTGTCTGTGGACTGGCTTACGTTGGACAATGCCTGCGCCTGGTGATTTTCATGTCTCGTGAGTTCCGCCGTTGACCATGTCTTGCCATCGTCTGACGAGTAGGGTGTGTCTATGCGGAATACGCGTACAAACCCGTCCTGACAAGCCGTCGCAATAATGTCGTATCCTCGGATATTCCCAGGCGCCCATGCTATATCGCGTACAAGGCCTCTATGGACACCAACGTCAACAGCAAGGTAGAACTCGCGTTGTGATTGAGCGACGCCGTACGAGGTTGTGATCACGTCCCTAGAGCGATACACCTTGACCGAGGACATACCCGCCACAACGAGGCCTAAAGAGTCGTGTGCGACCCCTGCCCGCAATGCACTGTAACACGGCTCTGGATTCGAATCGAATCGAACTTTGAAGCTAACCTCTTCTCCGCGATTCGGCTTGGGACATATGCTGAACTCGTCTATCGAGGTGTATTCGGACATGTTTTCAGGTTGCTCATTCTCGTACACAATCAGGCGACCGTCGGAGGCGACAAGGGCAAGGTAGGTGTGCCTTGTCTCCTCGTTGTACTTCATGGAAAACGAGCGGTAGGGGTATTTCGAGGAGCGCATTTCGTATGCGGCTTTGCTTGTTGTCGCACGGTTGCTGGCGCTGAAGCGACGGCCTGGAGCAGCAGATGGATCTTCGGCCCACAACTTGAAGCGGCCTTCTATCCCGAGAGATGCGATGAGATTCGGATATACGGTCGGGGGAAGCCATTGGAGCTGGGTGGAGGGAGTGTTAGTCTTGAATGGGCAGTGATTGTGCGCAGCATCAGAATCGCCTACCTCAAGAATCTCGCTGCCATGCGCCCCCCAATTATCGCAATGATGCCAGACACCATCCTTGTGACGGTTGAAAACTTTGATCTTCCCGTCGACGGAGCCGGTTGCACAGCGATCGCCGTAGGCATTGAAAGCTACGGCTTGAACCAGATCCTGGTGGCCATGCTGGAGATTCAAGTCGAAACCGGTCCTCTCTTCGGTGATTGTGGGGACTTCGTGAGGAAACGACGCCATCGTGTGCGACTTTTAGGGTTAAGTAGCGCTTTTAAATGCGCTTCTCGAGTATCGACGTTGCAAACCAGACGCGCGACGATTGCGTGGCGATTGTAGCTTGGATGATGTGGTTCACAGCAAAAGCCCCGCGAAGGATGTCGGAAGGGCACGTACCATCGGCCATTGACCACCAGTGCGCGCGGTTGCGCAGCTACCTAACCTAATATGGAAGTAAGTAGGTACTCACTCAACAATCAACTTGCTAATGAACGGAAACGTCTGAGGCTTTAAGTCGTAGATTTTGTTACCTTCTTTCCTCTTATCTTCTTCTCTACATACAAATGAGCACATGCGTAGAGTAGACCAACAGCGACAATTTAGGACACACGAGTAAATCATTGTCGATACCGGGTTTGCCTAAGCACGTTTTTAGTCTTCTTCAACTTTGATCCGTAGCTCTTGGAGTTTCTCATATAGCGCGGGTATCCCCTTTCCCAACGCCAGCGAATTGGGCACCTCTTCCAAAGGGTGCGCTGGTCCGTAGCTGATATTTTCAGCCGTTCGTAGCAAGTTTCGCACTGAGTTACCATCCCAAAAGTTCTCTCGTTTGTGGGTAGTTCTGCAGCAGTCGAAGGGCACGTTTCTGAACGACTGGATCCCCACAGCTGACGATAATAAAATAAAGCGGCGGAATGATTCCGATGTCAAGTGTAAAGGAGCGAGGCAAGGCTGTGGTCTCCCTCTGCCTAGCTGTGAGCCTTTGTTGTAACAGAGCGGCAATGGAAACCAGCTCCGCATAGCGAGCTACGATTTCTGGAGATTGGGACCTCTGATGAGGTCTTTGGCGTAGGTTGTGGCAGAGAAGACGTGCACACTCGTAATGCAACGTGTCTAGGCATATGGAATTATGCTCTCCCGTGCCGGCCCGCGGAGCTTGCGGCATGGCCAGAAATCTTTCGAAAAGCCCTGCCATATCCTTGCCCTTTTGAGTCAATATCTCGTGCTGGCGTTGGGGAATTGGCTGAGACCAAAACTCATCATCTCCTTGGTGCTCTCGAGTCAACCAAACGAGGGCGAATACATCCCGGGTGTACTGTACGACGACGCGGTGAGCCTGCGTTATGGACTGGAACTCTTCTGTAGGCGTGTCGTCAAGCTCTCGCCCTTCGTACAGCTTGATGGAGATGAAAGGCTTGAAGTTCTCGGCGAATAGAGCACAAGAAACCTCCCAGGTGGCAAAGAGACGGAGAATATAGTCCATCCCCAGTATCTCTTCCGTTGCTTTCTCCCATTCGTGGGCTGGACGAACATTTCGAAGCTCGTTGAGCGTACTCATCGGCAAGCTCTCAATGATACGCAGGCCATTTGACAAGTGAGTCAACGCTGGCCGCCAATTATTCCGAAGTGTCTCTATGCAGATGAAAGACACGCAGCAGAGGAGTGTAACGGTAATTCTGTCTCTCATTGGCACATGGGCACAGCTGGACAACTTAGACATTGCTGTGCCGTACTGCTGAATCGTGAAAATTTCGAGGTCCCGGCGCGACGAGCTGCAATCGTTCTGACGGATCTCCGACTGATAAATTTGATACGCGGAGCCAAGAGCTACAACGGCATGCTTCACAGCCTCGTCAGCATGGCTCAACCGAGGGGCTAATCGGCTCCAAAAACTGGTGAGGTTGGTGACATGGTTACAGAGACCGGCCTCAGCAACGCGACGAAAGCGGTGGAAATAGACACGCTCCGTGTGAGTGCCGTCTATGTCGGCGACTAAGGGCCGTGATATGCGCAGAGCCTTGATTTCAGAGCATGGCTGCATACAAGATGCCTGGGCAACCAGAGCGGGAGCACGCGTATCGTCGTCCGCCTCTGCCGGTCGAGACGGCATAACTTGGTCGTAACCATCGCATTTCCTTCCGGTCGATGTGCAACGTATGCAGGCAGGTCTCTCTTCTCCGCATTTGATGCGTCTTATTCTGTATAAAAAAAATTGTAGCCATGCGTCAGCAGTTCGCAGCCCAGGCACCATTCTCGTTGGTAAGAGTGTCGTACTTGCTGCGCTCAGTTAATCTTTACAGCCGCGGGAACAGGGGCATGCAGTAGTAATGAATAGGGGCTCACCATGTCAAGCACCCTGTTCGAACTTTGGGTTTGCTTGCCCTCTTGCGTTTCACAGGAACAGCAGTCTGCTTTGGCATACTCGTGGTGCTTCCACTGACCCTCGAGATGGGAACCATCGGCTCGAACGGAGGGGATTTCAATTGATGGGACGTTCATTGATCGGGGAACAGGCGCGCAAAAATACGTGGAGCCAGTTGCCTCGTCCGCATGCATGCACATTGACAGCGTAATGTGGGACGACAAAGATCTGATGAGAAGCTGAACACGGGAACGGATGCCTAAGCGGAGCGTCACTTCAGCCGTACCTTACTCAACGAACCTGACTCAGGCAGGATCATGAACCTGAGAAAAAAGGTGATCGGAATCGAAAATAGGCCGGTTTCGACGGCAATTTTTTTTTGAGTTCGGTGGTTTGAAAGGCCTAACGTGCGTTGTTGCTGTGTGTGGCATCTGTCAGTAAGCCCCGAAATGGCAGCCCGTTCAGGGCCCAACCTCGTGTGTTGGCGCTACACTGGAGATGGCCCTGATCGCTTGAGGCCAACGAATACAATCATCATTAAGGTAGGTATTACAAGGTAGGTGAACTAAGGTACCGTATTTGGTATGTATGTGCCTCTCTGTCACCAAGTCGCCCTTGCCGCGTTCCCTCGCCTGATGATCCATCACTACGTCTCAGTTTCCGGCTCGATTCTACTGGCGCGGTTCCTCCCCTTCTTGATATTTCTCCATTCCATGCATAGAGCGCAGACAAGCGTTGCCAATGACAGTCCCATGCCTGCCAAGAAGATCCTAGTGCATGCGTAGTTGTATGCCTTGACGACCACATCCAAGAACTGGGACGGAACGACCTTGTGTAAGTCGGTTGCCCCAATCTTGACAATGACTTGTGCAGGCAGTCCAGGAATGCCAGAAAGCTGCGACACAAGCATGTTGCTGAGAATCGACTGTCCTACCGAGACGAATATAGCTGCTCCCAATTGCTGCGCAAAGAAGCTTATGGAAACACCTGTTGACACGTCTTCTTTGGGAAACACCGCCTGCACAGCAAGACCGACGGTTTGCATGCCAAACCCCAGGCCGAAACCTGT